TAAACAACTACTACTCTCTCTCTCTCTCTCTCTCTCTCTCTCTCTCTCTCTCTCTCTAATCTCTTTCAATGGACGGCGGATAGCTCTTTCGTGGTCCCACTCCTATAAGTGGAAAGGATCAATCGGCTGGTGGGATGGAATCGTGTCTTGAATCAAGTGGAGAGGGAGTCATGGGTGGAGAGCAATCGCATGGGTGTCATGGATAATACACTAGATCACAAGATCTCTCTCTCTCTCAATCTCTGTCTCTCTCTCTCTCTTTCTCTCTCTCTCTCTAAAGAGGAACTCAGGCTAGAGATGGGAGAGAGAGAATAGCTGGCTAGGCATTAGAGAGAGAGACATATGGGATGAACGTTGCTGTAGAGAGAGAGGGAGAGCCAAGTTTAAAAGGTTAAAATAGTCATCATACTAAGAAGTAGGTATTCATGTGGTTGTCAGATATTTGCTACATGGATTCTATATCTCTTATATCCGAGATACTATTCTTAGCTTCTTTGACATAACTTTTATTAATTTCCAATAAAAAACAGCCATATGGAATAGAAATGATATCAACACATTTATAAAATAGAACAACAATTCATAGTAGAACATATCAAGCCTTTTATCAGTAAAAGGCGTCGATAATAATATTCAAGAGTGAATGAGAATTTTATGTTGGTAAAACAAAGAGAAACTTGCTGAGGGCCCTAGTAACCGTCAAAATAGCAGAAACTTGCATTCAGTTTATGATTTCTAAAGTCTGCAGCAACACCACATCGGGTTTGAATCCACTGTTTGCCTACGAAAAAGTTCAATAAGCCTGCACAAACTTCCTAAAATGCATCGAAACCTCTTAGAGCCAATAGCCAACATGTTTGTGAAGTCATTATCAGGGTTGAAGATTTCAACAGAAAACAATCCACATGAAACTATTAATAATCAGGACTTTATCACCAATAGTGTTCTATAACAGCCAGTGCCATAGCCATAGAAACTTACAGTCATAGATACACCCCCAAGCCCTCGATGATTGCTCACAACTACATTCCATCCTTGTTTTGCAAACGTGTAAACAAGGTGCTTGATATACTGCAACAACAAACATAGAACACAATGACTTTGTAACAGAAAACCATACACCCTAAAAAAAAAAAAGCTTACACAAATATTGTATAGAAATCATCCAAATTTAATCAGCAATCAGGTTCCTAGACCAGTAAAAGTGGCCCCCTTTACCACATAGAAACTACCAAGTTAAATCACCAGAAGCTAGGACCTGTTTCAATGACATTTAACCAACCACAATCAGTTTGTGTTTTAATTGTAAACCAAGAACTCCATATAGAGACTCTGGGGTACTGTGATGTTCATATACAACACAAGGCCATGTAGTAAGGATTTGTCTTAAACAGCAAGCTAAAGCCGCACTAGCTCTTTCAGACGTTCACCTATAACATGATATTTGGTTCTGGCCAACAGATGAATGAAGAAAAGCAAGAACTGGCTACTCTCAAAGTCAATATCATCTTCACATGCACTTAAATGTTTCAAAATTCACTGATCTGGATTTGGAATCGATGGGAAGCGACCCGTTTCCCAGTTGGAACAGGTAATCGGTACAGTTTTGATGGACTCGCCTGGTTTCATCAGAGAACCAGGAGAATTGGTCAAGGAACTGAGTGTTCTGGATCACCCAGTTGCCACCATTTTAATTTTTTTATCATGTTTGCTCAGTTTTCTAATTTTTCCAAAATTAAAATTATTATCTAATTTTTATGGGACCCATTTTCGCAAGAGAATCAGAGTCTGGTTTGCTGATCAAGATCATCGGTTCGCCGATCTAGAAAGGATTTCCTCAAGGCCAATCATCCAGCCAATCCAATTTATGAAACATTGCATGCACCAATTGTACGGTGTAGAAACTCTCGAGCTACAAGTTTACATCCTAAATGAGTAGTATGTTTATAAGATATTTCTTTTGCTAAACCACATTTTTTCCTTTTATTTTGATGTGTTAACAGTGGGAATGGAGACTAGGATATTTTGTTGAGGAAACTCCCCCATAACCATTGATGCCCCAACCCTGGTCGCCATTTCTTTTGGCTAAACTAGTCTTGGTCTTGGAGTGGCCCGCCCTTTTTGTATCAATATTATAAACAAATGCACAATGGTTGGACCAGGTCCTTACTGTTATGATAAGGTGCATGCCAGTATAGTTGCCACTCTCTCCTTACATTGAGGAAGAGGCTATGGTGGCCTTCTTTTTACACATTTCCAATCTCTCACACACACTCCTAAACTGACTCTCACAATGCAATTCCCATCCAACATAGATAGTTCTCTATCTCAACTCTTGGTGAGGTGAACTTTCCTTCCAATATGCGATTTCTAATCTTCCATAGTGTTTTTGGATCACCTTATGGATAACGGAGGATGATCCATCATTGGTGCCCCCATTACTTTCTTGCCAAGCTGACCAAACTAGATTTGGTAGATATGCTTTCCAAAGCATGAATAAAGATCTATTGTTGTACTTCCACTGGAACCAATATGTCATGTACCTTTGGAGGCTGGCATGGGAATGGCTCGGTGTTGAATCTGCATACAATTCCCTTCCAAGACGCTCTTGTGAATGTGTGTCATATAAATACATGTTCATGATTCTCCAAACCCCCTTTTGCATGGGAAGCACCTATTGCAAGAATTTAACTACATGCAAAGCTCCCAATAGATAATGCCTATCTAATGAATCTGGTTGTATCCAGTATCATAGCTTTTGAGACCAGCCAAATGCCACATCATAAATCATTGATTAATGGGTCGTTTCATAGTCTTCACCACGCCCTTGAGACCTTCTCTATCATTCTGGAAAGACGGAGAATCAAAATCATAGTTCTATGTCTAAGAATTAACAGAATCTTTAAAATGAAACTTACGATCACATCCTAGAACTTTCTATGCTCTTCAAAATTGGACCCATCCTAAATCCTCTATTGCTAAACAACTGCCTATAGAGCATCCAGATGGAATCTAAACAACTGCCCATAAAGCATCCAGGTGGGATCTAAACAACTGCCCATAGAGTATCAAACATTCCATATAGACCACAGTAGTTGAAAAGGATTCCCAATCCTAATCGCCTTAGGAATCAGAATCGTAGAATTGTGGCCAGCTAAAAGATTCATGTTTTCAGAATCGACATTCGTACAAGAGGAATCAGGGGAAACAAGATTCCTATCTTATGGGAATAGAGATTCGACAAAAATAGAATCGAGATCCCTTCATTGATGGAATCAAGATTCCTATCTCTATGCAATCGAGTTTCCGACATATTTGGAATCGACCAATATGGGATTGAGATTCTTGCGTCTTCGAAATTGAGATTTCTTAGCATTTCAAATCGAGACTCGTACCAATTGGTAATCAAGATTCAACCTAGATTAGAATCGAGATTCATAGCGGTTTGGATTCGAGTTTCGACCCATCCGGCAATCGAGATTTGTTACCTATATAATCAAGCATCAAGCAGACATATGGATAGATGGCGACAGATTTTTAAGGGTCTCCATGATATTCTCCCCCGATAAACAAAGTGTAATGCTTCCCAACCGTCCAATTTGAATGGAGGGTTAAGATAACACTGCTCCAAATTTCATAAAAAAAAAAAATTATAAACTGGATCAAGAATGAAATACCTACCATTAAGTCCGCAAATGATTGGATTACACAGTGTAGATTTAGAAAGAGAAAGATGGGGAGTGACGATTGAACGGGGAGCAAATTGTTGTGCTAAAGCCTAAGGTGTTAATACTAAATTAAAAGGTTGATTCTTTGTTCTACTTGGAAATAAAGTATTACCAAATCATTTATAACTTATTACCAAACCAGCAGTCTGATAATGCCACAAAGAGTTTCAGGCCCATTCTTTGATCAACTTGGCACATATGTACGTTCACAGTAGTTTTAAATTTCTCGACTTACAATCTCTCTAATGATCATTACGACACACACGATTAATGAAACCAGCCTATAAATAACATATGCCACTTTATTTTTATTTGTTATTTACTATAAAAACATATGATCTAAAGATGATTGCAACTTGTAACTTGAAATTGGATGTTGAGTAATTTGATGCTTTAATATTGTAACCATCAGTTGTCCAAACCAAAGACTTCTCAAAAAAAAGAAAATAATATTAAGGATAATAATAAAAAATGACTGCAAATCCCGAACGTACTGAAGGCTTTGTGCCTTATGAAAATGAGGGCGAAGATGTTACTTAAATTTTAATATTCAAAGGGCTGAGTTTTCTTGAATTTTAATATTCAGGGCTAAGTTCTCTTGAATTTAATGCTCTACTCCCTAGTTATATCTATCTTTGCGGTAAAAGTGTTAGGGAAATATGATTGAGATATTATGACTCCATATCATAAACCAAAGGACTAACACAAACGTGGTCAAATTCGCCCTTAAGTTTTATATCATGGAAACAAAAAGGGTTTTAACATATATACTAGATACGTGAGGAGTTCCAGAAATAAATAGGTGAATTTGAAACTGTTGTGTACCCAATAATATATATAAAACCAGTGTTTCTATGATATGGAATACATAGGCGAATTGGTCTCGAATGTGTTTGCCCTCTGGTTGTTCATTTAGAGTCTCAATGTTTCTTTAAATATTTTTAAATTTATGCGGCACGTTTTTTGAAGCGACCACCGACCGGACTAAGAAGTAACTCTCAACCCTCTCGGTACCTTCCATGTACACAAATCCTCTGCATGACTTACTCGGGGTTCCATGACTCTTGGTCCCAGTGTGCCAAGATCCTAGAGTCATGTCACTTGATTACTCCCATTGAAGTTAAGAGCTATTCAAATGTCGAAATTTTAAGCCCTTTGAATGACATAATTTCAACATATAAAAGATATAATCCAAATGAAGAATATCATGGTCCAAATGAAAACTATCGTAGATTCATACTTCAAAAGAAAACTCATAAAATTGAACACCCTCATAAATTAGACAAGATATTATGGTCTATCAAAGAAGAAGGCCTACAGAGCACCAAGAAGATAGGCCAATTGAAATTCGAGAGAGCACTCAAAACCCACACAGATCTATCAGAACGAGGCAACCAATTGATCGATGGGTAAGTTATCACACAGTTTTTATGCATGAAATTCTCAAAATCAAAGATCCCATAACCTATATTGAGGCAAGAAAAGATAAAAGGTTGGTCAAGGCCATGGCAAAAGAGATTAAGGCTATGTACATAAATTAGACTTGGGAGATGGTTCCCAGACCTGCAGATAAAAATTTTGTGGTTGCAAGTTGTTTTACAAAGTGAGTACAAGTCAGATGTAGTGTGGAACGGTTTAGAGCCAGGCTGGTTGCAAAAGGATTTAGGCAACAACATAGACTTAATAATGATGAAAATTTTAGTCCTCTTGTTAAGTTAACGATAATTCGTGTCGTTATTTCCCTTGGTTTAGCATATGGTTAGTCTCTTTTCTAGTTAGATGCTGAGAATGCTTTTTCATATGGAAAGTTGGTCGAAGAGGTCCACGTGGAACGACCACCAGGTTCCCATGAAATAAATCCAAAGACTGATGTTTGTAGGATGAAAAGATCTATATATGGATTATAACAAGCTCCAAGAATGTGGTTTCAATATTCCCGTAATGCGCTGAAAGAAAGTGGTTTTATCGAGGCAGCATCAGATCATTCACTATTTATTTATTACAACACGGAATGTGTTATTATCGTACTGCTTTATGTTGATAACTTTATAATCACTAGTAGTTCAATAGACCTCATTGAAGGTGTCAAGAAATTTTTGCATGATAGAATTATAGTTGTTGGAAACATTTGTGATTCCGAATGTTTATGGAATCGAAATCACGGAATCGAGTGTATCAGAAGTTTCGGAATCTAAGAATCGATGTCCGTTAGATTCGAATTTAAGAAAATTGATTCTCACTATTTCGGAATCGCAATTCAAAAAATTACGAATCGTGTTTCGTATTTGCAAGAATCGATGTCCCTTCATGTTGGAATTGCGTTCCATACCTATATAGAATCCC